TCACTGATGAAATGTCTCTTCATGTCTTTTGCCCATGTTCTAATGGGATTGCTTTGTTTGCTTTCCTTCATTTTTTAAACTGTTGAGTTTTGATATAAATTCCCTCTTTTTGTTAAGGAGTTTGAAATCGGCTTCTGTTACTTGCAAACCTAAGACTCATGGGTAGTGTACTTTTTCATTTAATAACAATCATAATATTAGCTAGCATTTATTGAGCACATACTTTATGGCAGGCACTGTTCTAAGCGATTAACAGGTTTTAGCTCATTTGATATATGTTGTTTTTATAAACATCGTATGTTGTTTTTAAAAACATTAACCTCCATTACAATTTAGTTAGCAAATCTTATTGTCAGCATAAACAAATAACCAGGCATGGCTAAATTCAAATTGACTGAGTTTATTTGTGTTTCAATTGGTGGAAAGAAAACTGAAGCTACTAATGTCATTCCACAAGAGTGCATGACTCACCATAGCCACTCTTAAAGCGAAATAGAATTTAAAAAATTAAAAAAATTTACATAGCACATACTTTTTTTGGGTTTGTTTTAAGTAAATATCTGACAACGTACAGTTCAACAAATTCTACAGAACAATATCCCCAAAACTTTAGTCTCCCCCTAAAAAAAACAAAAACAAAAACCCAAACCCATTGCCATCAAGTTGATTCTGACTCATAGCGACCCTGTGGGACAGAGTAGAACTACCCCACAAAGTCTCCAAGTCTGTAATCTTTACGGAAGCAGACTGCCACATTTTTCTCCTGCAGAGGAGCTAGTGGATCTGAACCGCCAACATTTAGGTTAGCAGCTGAGTGCTTAAACACTGTGCCACCAGGGCTCCTTCCCCCTAAAATAAAGGCAGAATATAAATGACTACTTATATAGCTTTTAAAAACTGCATTGATGTGAATGGAGTAGATACACATGCAGGGATCGGATATTCTGAATTCCTGTGTGAGGCTAGGACCATATTTTCTGAGGTTTGGAGAGACGTCAGGGTTTGATGAGGGTCCCCAAGGTGACTGCCCAGTTGGTCCTACAGTAGAACTACTTCTGCAAAGGGCAGGGCCCCTCTGGGGACTGGGCACCTTTCTTTGTGCCCCAGGGGCTCTAAGTGTGAGTTATAGGTGAGTCAAGTCATTGAGCAAGGACTGCCCTTGGATACTTGGCTTCTGGATAACCAATCATTTATTCTTCCGCTTTCTTCCACACTCAAAATCAATGGAAGATGCCAAGTACCCACTTCCACACATTAAAACAAAACAAAAGAAAAACACCAGTTGCTGTTGAGTCAGACTCCTGGCCACCCCATGTGTGTCAGAGTAGAACTGTGCTTCATAGGGTTTTCAATGGATGATTTCTGAAAGTAGATCACCAGGCCTTTCTTCTGAGGTGTGGACTTTCTTCTGAGGGTGGACTTGACCCTCTCACATTTTCGTTAGCAGCTGGGCACATCAACCATGTGCACCATTCATTAGACAGGCACAGTTCCACTCTTGGGAAAAAATAAATGAATCATGTCCATCACATGGGGATTCAGGGAACGGCCAACACAAGCCATGTCCAAGTGTTACTGCCCCAGTGCAGCCTGAGCTGTGAAAGGTGGCATCAGTAGAGGTGATGTTGCAGATCTGTACACTGTGGGCCCTGTGCTCCTTTGATTAATGTCCAGCTACTGCATTTAGATGGATTGATCATAATCACCTAACCCAACCCAAAGCTGACTCAGCAGGGGCAGGGACAACCTCAGCTCACCCACCTTTCTCAGCAAAGCTTACAGGAGCTTTGAACATTGACGTTTGATGAACCTAGTGCCCGTCTCCCCTTCTCCTCTATCTTCTCCAGGATTGCAATTCCACCCCTCTGAACCTGCTAGCTTTGACCTTGCGGATTTCTCTTCTGGTTTTGGTCTCTCCTCCCCCTTTATCCTTTGGACTTGATGCTTGGAACATTTTCCTACAAAAACTGTGTTTCTTTCTATGTCCATCCTGTTCCTTCACAAAGTTGCCTTATACCACTTCAGGAAAGCCCTTAAATTTCTCTCATCCTGTCAGGCTGGGGGTTGGGGGGGTGGTCCACCTGGCCAGCCTCACTCTCTCCCGTCTCAACATTTTTCCTCTCCCATCCTCTTTCAGTTGCCTAGTACTGTTATAACAGAAACACCACAAGTGGATGGCTTTAACAAATAGAAATTAATTCTTTCACAGTCTAGGAGGCTAGAAGTCTGAATTCAGGGCACCATTTCCAGGGGAAGACTTTCTATGTCAGCTCTGCGGAAAGGTCTTGGCATCAATCTTCCCCTGGGTCTAGAAGTTTCTCAGAGCAGGGACCCCGGTTCCAAAGGATGTGCTCTGCTTCCGGCTCTACTTTCTTGGTGGTAGGAAGTCCCCCTGTCTGTCTGCTGGCTTCTCTCTTTTATATCTTAAAAGAGATTAACTCAAGGTACAACCTAATCCTGTAAATTGTGTCCTGCCTTATTAACATAACTCCCTCTGATCCTGCCTCATTAACATCATAGAGGTTCGGATGTGCAACACATAGGATAATTACATCAGATCACAAATGGAGGACAACCACACAATACTGGGAATCATGGCTTAGCCAAGCTGATACACATTTTTTGGGGGTGTAATTCAGTCCATAACACACCCCAAATATATTTTTTTTCCAAATAAAAAAAGTTCAAATCTAGGCGTTATTGCTTAACAGGTAGTCAGTCTTTGCAAGTTACCTTTCTCATCTGAGTCTGTTTCTTTTATAAAATGGGGTAGGTAAGCCCTTTCTCCCAGGAGTCTAGTGATGTACTGATTATGTATATATGTGATGCCCATCACAGCCTAAGACTCAAATGGTAGCTAGTATCTAGAAAGCCGCAGGAGGCAAGAGCAGCTGCCTCTTTCCCTTCTCCCCTACCTTGGTCTCTGCCTTCAGGTCAGTGCTGTCCTATTCCCCCACCCCTTGTCCCAGCCCCACCCTCTTTCCCAGTCAGTTAGGGAGACTCAGACTGATCAGCTCCCCTCTCCTAGTGGCAGAGGATTTCTGATTGGTTGCCATCACCATGGCAACTCACTGTCTCCCCTCCCCGTCCCCCCACTTTCCAGTGCCAGCAGATTTGTAGAGTTGCAGACTTCTTCGTGGCTGGGAGGGAAGAGGAGAGAGGCTGGGGGAGGGGAGAGAGGCTCCCTTGACTGCAAGGGCTGCCACTCTTTTCGGATTTGTTTGGATTCTAGACACCAGACTGGTATGCAGTGTGGCCTCTATTGTTTCTCTCATTTAGAGAATCACTTCTGATATTCCTAGTAACTCCTGATTCCCTCTGAAATGGGCTGGCTTAGGACGCCCAGGTCCTTGGTTAGTGGCATGTGGCATGCATGATAAACATGTTGTTCAAAGCTACTTACTGAAGATAAAACAGCAATAATGGTATTTGTCCTGCTGCCCTTGCAGCACTGCTGGGAGGATTAAAGGTTAGAACCAGCGTGGTTGTGCTTTGTAAACTCCCAGGACTGTCAGGGGCCGTTGGTTATTCTGTCCACCCCCAGGAGTGGTTGGCCAGAGGGGTGCAGCCTCACTCGTGCTTTCCCTTCCTGACAGAAGTGGGGGTTTGGGAGATGTATGTGCACATGGGATCCCCTAGAGAGCAACACAAGGCAGTGACATGCTAGACCAGTGGATCCTACTTGTGAGGTGCGGGCCTGGGAGTTAGTGCCAGGGTCTGAGAATCTGCTTATGCCCAGGACGTCTATGGAATAAAGACACAACTTGTCTTATACATGGCAGAACTATGTTCAAATGCTCATTAATGCTATTGAGTTTTAAAAAATATTTTTAAAGCATATGCTGAATTCAAAGTAACTTTTTGTCATTATGCGTGTGCTCAGTCAACAAGGGGATGGTGGTTGAGAGTGCAGGTCCATGAGGTTGAAAAATGGTGAGGTGAGGCTGTGTGGAGTGGTGTGTACCTGCCACAGGAGTGGGGTGGTGGTGGGAGGTGAAGACACTGAGGAAAGCTTTAATCAGGGATGGGCTGGAGAAGGAGGTCTTGCTTGAGCAGGCTGCCTAGCCCCTCACTTGCCTGCTCCTGCCTTTCTCCAGCTGACCTGGCTAAGAGTGAGCAGGCTGAGAAGATGTCCTCAGAAGCTTCCAGCTACCCTACTCAACATTATGCAGCACCCCCACCCCTAGCATTTCCTGAGGACACTGAAGAAGCCACCATCTTGCATCATCTCCCCTCAGGGTTCCACCACTTTTAGGAATTACCTGGAGTCTAGGCTCAATCAGGGGAGTGATGACCCTCAGCTTCAGTCATGGTCTTCCTACTTGTGGCTTTCTTTGGAAGGCCCAATGGGCTGGGTGGGCAGTGAGGATCCCCCAATGTTGGTGAAATGCCATTGTTTTCTAGCCAGTACCACAGCAAGGGTGGCGAGAGAGAAGCCCTGCTCTCCTCAGACCCCTGTGCTGAGCCCTAATTGGCTCCAGGGCCTGAGTTTTCTGCAGCCCTTCCTTGCCTTCTGACTCAGTGCTCAAACCCACCAGCCCTCTGACAGCGCTGGAAACTAGGCACCAAGCCCTCCCTGAAGCTATTTTTAGGGTTCATCTGTTCTTTCATAGTTATCCTCTAAATTCCGTACTCTCTCACCCCCAGATTTGAAAAAGCTAAAGATTCTCAAAATTATCCATAATTCCCCCTCTCCAGGTACTCTCTCTGGCTGGCTCAGCTTATAAACTATGCCTTCACCCCTACCTTCTCCATACCACTCCCTCTTTTCTTCTTCATCCCCACCCTTACCCTCTGGCTGCCCAGCTCCACAGGCAGCATAGAAAGCAGGCTCTTTGTCTGACATCATCCTTTCAGTCCCTGGCCTGCAAAGAGTTACTCACGCAGGCAATCCCTGCTCCACCAGAGGAGACTGTCCAATTGCCAAGCAACCCACTGTTGGCCAATCACAGAGCTTGGAGATGATGTCATGGCGAGAGCCCAGCAGTGGTGCTGATGTTGAGAGAAGCCCAGGATACCACTAATTGAGAGAGTGAGGAAGAGAGCAGCTCGCACCTCGCTTCTAACTGGACTGCAGGTAAGTAGAAATGGGATGTAAATTATTTGAGGCTTTTGAAAAAAAGAAAAAAAGGCAGCAGCAGAGCAGAGAAGCAAGTGGTCTAAGAAACTGAGTGTACCTATTGTGTTGCCTTTGGTTTTACTCAATGAATTAAACTTTGTCAAATCTTGCGGGAAATAGGATGAGGCAAAATGAATGGTACTCTGCAGAGGGGCAAGGGTGGGCTGCAGGCATTGCTTTTATTCCAGAGCTCAGTACAGACAGGATGAGTGGGAGTTGCTAGGGTTTCTTTCAGGTCAAATATCCATGGTGAGTTATTTCTGCATAAAAATGTTTTACTGCTGATGGAGAAAGGTTTTGTCCCGAGTCTGGCTTCCCCTGGAACTGGCCCTGACCCCTGATCCCTTTCAAACTAGAAGCTGCCCTGGGTTTTACATCTTCCTCAGCCCCAGCTTTCCTTGCCTCCCTTTCTCATTTTTATCATCTGCTTTTCTTTCTCGTTTATCTCTTCACTGGATTACTTTTGTTCTCACTGTTCTGAGGACACAATGAGATCACCACCTCTTTCTTGCCCCACCCCACTCTGAGGTCAAGCTGATCCCACCTGGGGCAGGGATGGTTGGCACTCAGGCTGAAAACTGAGAGACACAGAACTGCCACGCCCTGTCCCCGACTGTGGCTGAGGCCAAGCCCCCTCGTCGCTCAGCCCACCGCCCTCACCAGGAGTTTAGGCATTGTCATTTTCTCACCCTGGGGACTCAGCGATTTGATGCCGAGTGGCTGGCTCTGTCCCACATGGTGGTGCTGCCTTTGTTTTATTTCTCCAGAAAAACAAAATCAGGTGCGGAGGAGTCTCATTGTCCGGAAAAAGGGCGGGTCTGCAGGACCCCTGGGGCACAGAAACATTCAGGCAGCCCTTTGCTCAATAGTCCAGGCAGGGGCACTCCCGCGTCTCAAGGGGTACCCCCAGGAGAATACTAGGTGGGTATGGCCAGAGGTGGCCTGCTGGAGTCCTGAGGGGTGGGGAGGGGAGGGTGAGGGGGAATGTGAGGGAATCTGCCTCAACGGGAGGCTAAGTCCCCCTCCAGAGGGAGGAAACCTCTCCCACAGGCTGGGAGTCAGGGTGCCAGGGGGAATGAGATCATCAGTCAGATGAGGAAACAGTCAGAGTGCTGGAGCGGAGAAGAGGCAGAGGGTGACTGACAGGTCTGATCAGCAGCTGCCACAGAAGGGAGGTAGAGTCTACCAGCAACCCTGCTCTATCCTCTAGGGCTGACTAACCACCCCTCTTCTCAGCTCATCCCAACCCCTCTGCCACCTTTCTGCTAGGAACCATGCTTTCACCATTTTTGAAGCCCACTTATCATCACCAGCTGCTGAGCACCTGTCAGCTCGTCCCAGCCTTCTTGGGATCCTGAGCTCCACCCAGGCCACTCGTGAAACACATTTGGAGTCAGTGAGGATCTTTAACACTAGATCAGTCCACCATTGACCATGCTCCCTTGCAGGGAGTGAGTTCTCCATCACTAAAGACATTCAAGAAGTTGGATGACCACCCAGGAGGGAGGCTATAGAGAGAATTTCTGCATTGTATTGGAGATTGATCTAGACTAGTGTTTTTCTAACTACTGATTGGGACCCATTACTAGATTGTGAATCAATTTTGTGGGTTGTAACTGGTAATTGTTTAAACAAAATGGGTTAAAAGAGTAGAAAAAAAATCAGAGCACGTGCCATATAGTACGGTAAATAATGTTTCCTGTATCTATTTTTAGTTGTATATTTTCAGTTACAAGTATATTTGTGTGTGTATGCATATATGTGTGTATATACATACATACATGTATATATATACATATACATACATGTATATATACACATACATGTATACATACACATACATGTATATACATACATGTATACACACACGTATATATACATGCATGTTATATACACATGCATGTATATAACATGCACGTATATATACACACATGTATATATACATGCATGTTATATATACATACATGTATCTATACATACATGTTATATACATATACATACATGTTATATATACATGCATGTTATATACATATACATACATGTTATATATACATGCATGTATATATATACATACATGTATATATATATACACATACGTGTGTGTGTGTGTGTGTGTGTGTGTGTGTATATATATATATATATATACCAAAACAAATCCACTGCTATCGAGTTGATTCCGATTTGTAGTGGTACTATAGTAGTGGGACCACTACTATAGTGACAGAGTAGAACTGCCCCATAGGGTTTCTAAGGAATCTTTCCGGAAGCAAACTGGCACATCTTTCCCCCAAGGAGCAGCTGGTGAGTTTGAATCACTGATCTTTTGGTTAGCAGCTGAGTACTTTAACCATTGCACTACCAGGGCTTCGTATATATATCAGTAGCCATATATATACAGTACATGTGTATTAGTAACATGACATATACATAGTGGGTCATCATATAAAATGTATTTCTTATAATGGGTCCCAGTCAAAAGAGTTGGAGAAATATTGGGCTAAACGACCTCTAACTCTTCTAACTCTAAGACTGTAAGCTTATGGAAAACTCTTACCAGACTGGACTAGGAGAATCATCTCAGTTGTATGTGTCCCAATGCCAGGCACAAAATATGTGCCCAAAAGATAGAATTAAATCCAAGTATTCTTTTAAAAAGGAGCCCTAGTGGCACAGTGGTTAAAGCACTCGGCTGCTAACTGAAAGGTTGAAGGTTTGAACCCTCCAGCCACTCCTTGGGAGGAGGATGTGGCAGTCTGCTCATAAAAAGATTTATAGCCTCGGAAACCCTATGGGGCAGTTATACTCTGTCCTGTAGGGTCACTATGAGTCGGAATCAACTCAAAGCCAATAGGTTTGGTTTGGTTTTAGCATTCTTTTAAAAAGGAGCCTCGGTGGCACAACGGTTAAGCACTTGTCTGCTAACCAAAAGATGGCGGTTCGAACCCACCCAGCGGCTCTGAGGAGAAACCTGGTGATCTGTTCTCATAAAGATTACAGCCTAGAAAACCCTATGGGGCAGTGCTACTCAGTCACATAGGGTCACTATGAGTTGAAAGCAACTCAACAGCACTTGACAAGAACAACAACATTCTTTTGAAGAGAACGCTATGTTTCTTTAGGGACATACTTCGTTCTAAAACGACCCATCAAAGACAGAGAAGGTCTGATATAGTGTATCCTGAGTAGATTATTAAACAGACCTACTGTTGGTGGTGGGGTAGTGGGAATGTTTTGCATGATTTCATGAGTAGGTGCTTAATATCTAGATTCTATTTTGACTCAGTATAAGAAATCCTAGTGCCAAGAGAGGCTGGCTGCTTTCTCTCATATGACTAGGGTATTTTAATCACATTTGGCCTTGTCTTAATTATCTAGTCCTGCTATAACAGAAATACCACAGGTGGATGGCTTTAACAAATGAATTTATTTTCTCACAGTTTAGGAGGCTAGAAGTCCAAATTCAGAGTGCTGGCTCCAGGGAAAGGCTCTCTCTCTCTTTAGGCTCTGGGGGAAGTTCCTTGTCTGTTCAGCTTCTGCTTCCTGGTTCCTTGGAGATCTCCATGTGTCTTGGCATCTATCTTACCCCATCTCTGCTTCTTAGCTTGCTTGTTTAACCTCTTTTATATCTCAAAAGATGTTGACTTAAGACACACCCTGCACTAATCCTGTCTCATTAACATAACAAAGACAAAGCCAAAAAACCAAACCAATTGCCAGTGAGTTGATTCTGACTCATAGTGACCCTATCTATAGGACAGAGTAGAATTGTGCCATAGGGTTTCCAAGGCTGAAATCTTTATGTAAGCAGACTGCCACATCTTTCTCCTGCGGAGCGGCAGGTAGATTCGAACTACCAATCTTTCAGTTAGCAGCTCAGCACTTTAACCACTGTGCCACCAGGGCTCTTTTAATAAAAACTCATTCCCAAATGGGGTTGTAACCATAGGCATAGAGGTTAGGATTTACAACACATCTTTTGGAGGGACACAGTTCAATCCGTAATAGGCCTATAGGAGGGAAGTATGCTGATTGATAAGCTTCAAAATAGAACAACAAAGATTGATACACTGAGATCCAGAGAGTAAGGCAGAGGAACAGGGGAGTGGGACACAAGGCAAAGAAGATAAGGAAGGTGAGAGGGAGAAAGAAAGCGATAGTGTCTACCTTAAATCAACCACATAGAAAAACTGAAAAATTTAAATATTTGTGTTCTTGATTGTAAGTAATTGGATATTTAAGAAGCAAAATCATAATCGTAACCAAAGAAAGGAATAATTTTTTCAAAAAACTCTAAACTTCCCTCCCCAAGTCCTCCCTGATATCTTTATTTTTTTCCTATTTGTCTGGAGACTCTCATCTGGAGACATAGAATCCCAGAGATTTTGAAGTCATTTGTGGGGAGAAATGGGACATTTTTGGGGGGATAGAAAGTCTGCAAAAAATCATACAACATGCAAAATCTAATTTTTATAATGCCCTTTAAAGAAGCAAACTTTTTTTTTATCTTGGGAAATAAATATGCATCATGTATAATTCTATTTGCTTGTTAAATTATCATTTGCTATATTTAGATATGTGACAGTCTGAGAAAATGGTTATTTTCTATTTTTCTTTGAGGGAGGTGAGGACAAAAAAATTCTCCCCTGCCGTTTTTTAAAAAACATTTTTTTTCAAGTTTTTACATGTCAAGTCCCACTAGGAAGACAGAAAGTCATACACACACATATGCACCCACTCACCCACCCCCTGACACCTATCTTTCATCCCTGCCAAAGTTCACTGTTCTTTTCCATAAATTAAAACTGGTAGCTGTGTGTGCACTCCCTTGGGGTCCTGCTGTGGGAGGCGGGAGAACAGGACAGGTCAGAAGGGACCTGAGCTGGGGTCTGATGTGGATTGGCTTGATTTACAACAAGACACAAGCAACCCAAGAGATCAGAGGACAAATCAGGGAACAT